TGCCAGATGGTTTAACCAAACATCCCCCTCCCTCCCACCCCACAAAAAACACCAGGGAAAAAATTCTGTTGAGGAAAAAAAAAGGGGGAGACCAAAGTTGTTGAAAAAAAAAAAAGACCTAAGAGTTATTAAGCAAAAAAAAAAAATTTAATCCCCAGCATGGCCCCTTTAAGAAATGCTTTGAGACTTTTTGGCCCTAACAGGCTGTTAGCGGCCGTACCATCTTGTCTCCCTGCTCCAGGCCAGACAGCTCCTCTGTGGAACTAGGTACGCACCCAGTATTATCACCTTCTGGCTGGGAAAAAAATCAGAATTAGGTGTCCGGACAGGACGTGAAAATACCAGACTGTCCGGGTCAATACCAGACACCTGGCAACTCTAGGGGCATGGTGAGGCCAAGCAGGGGTGGGAGTTTATGGAAGAAGTAAGTGGGTGGACAGCAGGGTGAAGCAGAGGCAGGGTGAATAGAGGCCTATGGCAGTAGGATAGTTCTGGGCCCTGCACCAGGGGCACTGTGGAGTGGGGGGAGGTGCTGTCCCAGGCCACATGCCTCCCTTGGAATGGCCCTGGCAGGGCTGACCCCTGGGGCATCCCATTTGATACCAGTTTTCAACTACACATCAAGCTTTTGATTGCTGCCCAATGAACCAAATGATCCATACTTCTTTAACTTGCTGGCAAGAATACTTTGCAAGATCTATCAAAAGCTTTGCTAAAGTCAAGGTATATCACATCCACCGCCATCCCCATATCCAAGGAGCCAGTTCTCATTATAGAAGGTTCATCAGACATGATATGGCCTTAGTAGAACCATGTTGACTGTTCCTGATCACCTTTTTCTCCTCCAAGTGTTTCAAAATGGAGATCTCCCAGCTCATGGGTTGAGTAAAAGCCAATCCCACCCAATAGCTCCTACTAGTGAGTCTCCAGCCACTCTTAGATGTGTAATGCTTCTGCCAGATAGCACCACCAGCAGCAAGGGCTGGATTCAATATCTAGGGGTTCCTCTCCATCCACCCAACACAGAACTGGCTCAAGTCCCCACCCAGAAACCTGGGAAACTCACACACACCTCTGGGCGCCTCTGGGAGGCAATACTCCGCCTCTCACAAGCACAGAGTCTGAGCATAGAAAAGAAACCTTTAGCAATAGGGGCAGGAAGTAAAGTGGCATTAATTTGGGAAAACACCACAGAGTTCATAACCAAAACCACGAGTAAATGTCCCAGCTCACGTAGGTTTAGCAATGTCCTTTTCCTCTCAAGCACTGAAGTCCAGCAAAGTGTCCCCTTCACATGCACAACCCTTCTTTGCACCCCACTCACAGTCGCTACCCTTGGTCAAGGCAGACCAGAGCTCAGAGGTGAGCTGCAGATTTAACCTCTCATCCTGAGTGGGGGTAGAAGGCATCTCACCCACTCCACTGGTCACTCACCACCTGCTCATCTCATCTTCCTATGGCTTGTGGTGGATTTGGTTCTGGGACAAACCTTGTGATTTCAGCTTTTAGCCTAAAGCACAGACAAGCCACAAGAGATTCCAGCATCCTCTGGAGAATGTTTATATACAAAAGAGACTCCTTATGGAACCTTTCTTTAACTCCATAATTGAAACAGTGGGGAGAAACAGATTGAACCAGTCTTACAGTTCCTGCCTGGCAATCATACAACCTGCTAACTCACCTCCCTGCCCAGCTTAATATATAGGGGTCTGGAAGATGAGCCTCTGCCCATCCAAGTGTATTTACACTGACAGGGTCTCTCCTTTGAACTGAGTTAAACAGTCTGACTTTTCTGCATTCCCGATAACTGCAAACATTGTTGATCATATCTCACAATTCCTGCATTTAGTGTTAACATGGTTAGTGATCCCACAACAGCCAAATTGGTTACAATGGGCAAAACACCTTCTAACAGTTGACTATCTAGAAGGCCTAAGCAAACTGAGTGAACTGTATTTACATAACCATACCCAGGTTTTCCTTCCCATTTGAGTGTGCTGTAATGGAAACATGATTCAGACCCTACTTACAGATGGGAGGGAGTGGAATAAGTAGATGGGAGGGAGTGGTTAAGTAGGATGGCCAATCATGAATATAGTGCTGGGATAAGTTAAATTTAGTTCAGAGTGAGACTCAGACATATGTGGGAACTGGTACCCCCTGAGCAATGCCAGCACACCATACACAAATGTGTAAGGACAGCTCTGATTGGATAAGATAGTACTCAGAAAAGAATGGCTCCTATTAGAAAGACCTCTATAGAGCACAAATTGCCCTCCTCTATGATTTTTCTAGGAACTAAGGTGAGGCTGACTGGTCTGTAGTTCCCTGGATTCCCCTTCTTCCCTTTTTTAAAGATGGGCACTACATTTGCCTTTTTGAGTCATTTGGGACCTACCTCAGTCACCTCAAGTTTTCAAAGATACTGGCCAATGGCTCTGCAGTCATATCAGGCAATTCTCACAGCACCCTCAGATGCATTAGATCCAACCCATGGATTTGTGCATGTCCAGCTTTTCTATATAGTCCTTAACCTGTTCTTTCACAACTCACCTTCTCCCCATATTGTGCTACCCAATGTAGTAGCAGTCTGGGAGCTGACCTGATCTGTGAAGTCTGAAGGGGGAAAAAAAAAAGCAGGTAGTAAGAACTTCAGCTTTTTCCACCTCATGTGTTCCTAGGTTGCCTTCCCTGTTGAATAAGGGTCCTACAGCTTTCCTGACCTTCTTCTTGGTACTAATATATCTGTAGAAACCTTCCTTGTTATCCTTCACATCCCTTGCTATCTGCAACTCCAGTTGTGCTTTGGCCTTCCTGATTATACTTCTGCATGCTGTATAACACTCCAAGCAGATGTCAGAGTGATTGAAATCCCCCATGTGAATCTGCACCTGTGATCTGGAAACTTCTGAAGAAAGCCTCGTCTACCTCATCCTCCAGGTATTTTTTCACACAATACACAATCAACCTGTGGTTCACTTTGCCAGAGGTTGTTGTAAAGGCCAAGATTACAAGGTTCAAAGAGCTAGATAATTTCATGGAGATTAGGTCCATCAATGGCTATTAGCCAGGATGGGCAGGGATGGTGTACCTAGCCTCGGGAATGGGTGACAGGGGAGGGATCACTTGAAGATTGCCTCTTCTGCTCATTCCCTCTGGGGCACCTGGCATTGGCTACCATCAGAAAACAGACTACTGGTCTAGATGGACTTTTGGTCTGGTCCAGTGTGGCCATTCTTATGTTGTCATAATCAATATGCAGAGGGCGGCTGTGTCTCCATCGTCTTCTGTATCTCCATGATCTTCTCCAAAGTGAGAAAATGCTGCTTCACTACTTTAGAGTTTTATGTAAGGACATTTACTTTGTACACTTTGACATGTGACACTAACTATAATGTCCTTCAACTGTGAACATTTAAATTCATAACAAATAAAATATTATATCCTATAATTTTGCACAACTGCTAAAATGTAATTTGATAAATATTGTAAAAAATGCTTAAAAATAAACATCAATATCCATTGAAATGATTAAACAATAAAAATGGATTTCACCAAGACTAAATAAAAAGTGAGTTTTACTATCACTGAGCTGACTATTAGTGTGGTCTCCTGCATTAAAGAAATACTACTGGGGGTTGAACTCTGAGCACCAATGGGAGTTTTGCTATTGATCTTAATGATCAATAATCTTAATAATCTTAATGATCATTCATAATCTCTTATACAATATATTTTATCATTAATTCTTGCCAAGCTAATGTGAGGGTGTTGGCCAACAAAGCTACTGGGAACTCAATACATTTCAGGGCCTTGGCAAGTAGTAAGTTAACACTGCATCCAGACTTCTCAATGATGGCTTAAAACTTTAGTTAAAGCCAGCAGCACTCTGTCATGTGGATGGCATTGCTTGTTTCCTGAAGACCCAACATTTGTGGCTGTTTGGATATATGGACTATTGTTATTTAATAGCCATGAAAGACCTGGTTACTTTAGCACTTATTATATATTAGAGATGGGTTCATGTAGAGGCACATCTGTATTTAGGACAGAATGTAATGACTGGGACATATACACATTTCCAATACATTAGCATATGAACATGAAATTCAGACCCAAGAAAATATTTGTCTCCCTATGAAGACATCTTTAAAATATGTCCAATGCTGGGGGGAAAGGAGGGAAGAGTCATTTTCTGTCCTACTCTTTTCATACTGGTCTCAGCAATTAAGCCACATTTCAACCTGACACCATTTTGTTTTGAAAAGGCTTCTTATTCATAATAGATTATTTTATGGAGGGAAGGCGGTCCCAGCAAGTCTTCACAGTAGGAAAATTAATTGGTATTAATTTCTAACCAGCCCAAATCAGAGTCAAGAGGCAAGGAGGCTCCCTAAATTCTAATGTCATTTTTAATAAAATCTACCCCTTTTGGATGAAGGGTTTTGTGGAGTGTTTGGTGGAAAAGAAAGCAACTGAGCCACTAGTAACTTATGTTGGAGATGACGTTTTATTGTGCATCGGTGTGTGTGTTTAATATAGGTACGTGTTGTGTGCATATCAGCATCGCTCTCCTGCTAGCTAATCCCTCTAGTTTAAAACTCCCTCTTTCCGATACACAGCTCGTCTAGAAGACGATCGGCTCCAAATCAGCGGGCATGTGATGCTGGGTTTATTTGAGGAAGGGATTTATTTCCCCTTTTCTTTTTCTTTCCAGAAGGAAGCCCTGGGAGCACCTCTAACGCCCTGCACGTTTCTGAGAGCGGCTGGCTCTTTGGAGAGGAGCCCTCCGTTGCTCTTTAGCAATTTGGCTTTGCTCCTCCTTTCGCCTCCGAGTAAAGCTAGTCTGAGATTGCAGGGTTTCCGAAGTGGTGGCAGAAGCCTGGACAAGTTGGGGGCGGGGGCGGGCAGGAAAGTAAAGTGGCAGAAGACTTGCTTGCGGGCGCCCTGCGCTGCAGCCCCTCTGGGGGGGGTT